TTGGCTCGTAAACTGACATTTTCAATCGAGAATAACTTTATGATGCAGACACAAATCGACTAATGTTTCTATGGGGTTATGCTGATAGATGCCCAAGTTTGTTGTATGACGTCTATGATCTATTTATTTCGACCACCACTTACCGCTAAAGCCATCTATAGAAAAACGACGGAAGCAAAGTCGTATATCTAATATAAGGATATTAGCAATCAGATGTTAATGGAAATCTTAAAATCTGTAAATAATTTATTGCGAAAAAATATTTTTCTTTATATTATACCTACTTTTTATTAATTACAATATTTATTATATTTATAATATCATATTAAAAATATATAACATGCATTACGCACATCGTATAACGCGTATTATATGGACTTGTTACAACAGCCAATAGGATCGGGCTCTCAATTGGACGTATCCTATGTCTGAATAGTAATGGTCAACGACAGGTCAAAGGCAACCTGCGATACTCTCTGGTTTAAAGGACAAAGGAAACGCAATTCTCTCATGCAATTTCCTCGCTGACGCCGAATAAAGTGCTGGAATTTGGCACTTCAAAGACCGCAGGAGTGGCATTGTCATTCCAGTGGTATCTACTTTTCATTCCCTTCTTGTTAGCTTTTTGTCATGCCCTATCGATCGCGGTTAATATCATCTGGCTTTAGCATGTGAGATATGAAAATCGAGTTTAGCAAAACAATATAATACCTTTTTATACAAGAACGATACGCTTACGATAACGTGAAATTCCTTTTTTAATTCTATGATATTTATTAAAGCACAGTTTTATATATTGACTAACTGTGATTGAATTATTGTTGCTTTACATGATTTTGTATTATCAGTAAAGTATTTTTTTTTGTATTTTCTGTACACGGAAAGAACGGTTTTGTTGAAGCATTAAAAATTTTAGATAGGTACAGATATGAAAATATAAGCGTTCAATATAATTATTTTGATAGACTAATAAAACTATTTTTAGATTTACATCTGCCTAAATTTTTAGATACTTCAACAAAATCATTCTTTCCATGTAACTTGTACTGAAAATTAATTTTCATAGAATATCTCTTATCTCTTTATGTATTAGTTTCACTGTACTGTGCTATTAAATTGTCTACTAATAATATCGTTAAATACATTTATCGATGTTGGAAATTGGTAAGATATTAAAGGTAAAATAGGATGTGCTGCGCAATACTATCTTCTTTCCTGTATATTACAGCAAAATGTAGATAAATGAATAATAGAAATTTAATTTTACGAGATTAATGGCAGATACATGAGTAATCAATTTAATCAAATCGTCCGATGCATAATCGGGCTTTATTTCTTGACAATTTAACACGTTTTAATCGAGAGTTATTACTTGGTTACACGCGCAATCGTCGACGAATTTCGACGCGGCTATCTCATTATTTTGTTGCGACGTGTGTATGATATCGAGCCCTTTCAGGCAAAATTGATTACCGCAGTAATCTATCCTTGTCCAACGGATAGACGAAGGGTGTTGCAGATTGCACACGTACTCTCTTCAATCATTTACTCTCGTCTCGTATAAACGATCGGCCCGATTTTTAACTTTCGAACAAATTCCGATCGTATTAATTGCTCCTGCGTTATTTCGCCGGAACAACGCCGAGCGCGTAGCATTTATCGTCGGGAGAAGCAGAGGAAATTAATTCGGATCCCTCTCTCCTTTTTTTTTATACCACAACTGCGGCAGTTTGACAGCCTCTGACAAACGGCTAACCGCGTTGGATCGACATAGTTGTTGAGTTTACCCTGCAGGCAGTTCAGGTCTAATTGTGATCGGCCGACAGTGGTCGCACTGACAATTACACGACGACATTTCTGTTGACGCGCTCATGGTTATCATTAAATTTGACCCTCTCTAATTGCCTGCGTTCGCAAACGGTGCGAGGAAAGAGATTGAAATGAATCGGATTGCGTCATTTATTGAATGCCTTGATGTATCGTTGCGAAATTGTATGTTCATTTCGCATGAAAGTGTTTATGAACACTTCGAAATTAAAATTATGTAGAGGAAAGGAAGTGATTGTGGCACAAGTGATAGGTTGTGGAATATTACAATATTTTTTATAGTTTGTACTGCATTCTGTCAACCATAAAACTTACTTCGCAGTCTGCTTGGACGTTATAATATGACTACTAGTCATTAGTGTTTACTGCGTTGTTGTAAAAGTTGCATTTCAGTTTTGCATGTAACAGACAGTTTCACAGATGTGTACTCTTTACATGGAAAGAACGATTTTGCTGAAAGATCTAAAATTTTGCTGAATACAGATCTAAAAATAACTTTGTTGAACCATTGAAATAATTTTGATGGAAACTCAAACTAATTGTTAGAACATATACATTTTTTACAGCATTGCTCATCATTTTTTAGTTTTCAACACAATTAGTTTAATGAGCTAACAAAATTATTTTCAGCTCTGTGTTCAGCAAAATTTTACACTCTTCAGCAAAATCGTTCTTTCCGTATACGTAATTTTGAAAAATATATTGGTATATTAATTTTGTAATTTCAGTCTAGCTTGAAGGCCTCAAATGTGGCTTTCAAATGATATAATTGAACTAAATTCAGTAACAAAATGTGAGTGTATCCGACGTGTAAAATGCTGTATATTAGTTGATAATATTCCATATTCGCCCTCTTATTCCATTATCGCAATATCTTTTATTCCCTTTTCAGTTTTTTGTAAATTACGTTTATTTTGTGTATTTAAAGGAAGTTCTACCTATAACATAATTAGTATCACTCTAGCTAATAAACTTGTACCAAAAATAATTATGTTATATGAATTATATATTTACTAAGTTATTTCAATAAAACAAAATGATAATATTCCATAATTCTTCCTTTCCTCGATATAAACGTATGTAAGATTATTTATACAAGTGCTGCTTTTTATTATCAAGAAAGGTATCACATCTGGTAGCTATTGTTGTCAAGGTAGCTTTTCATTCGACTTCATCACCATTATTCATCAAACAGCATTTTTGCACAAAGCTCTTATGATTTCTTATAAAATAATGATCAAGGCTGCAAACGTAACCGCTAGCTACAAGTCTAATTGCTCTTTCGTTTGCTGTATTACAAGCACAAATATTCTATTTAAGCCGCAAGCTTCACGAACGGAATTTCCAAACAGAATCGCAAGGTGCATTGCGACTGGCATTATGCAAGCAAATGTAATAACGATGAACACAGAATTCGCGATACACTTTTATATTCCTTCATTTTACTCTGCTTTACAAATGTATACTTAAAATTTGTCAACGTTCTACATGTTGGAGAATCGTGATACAGACCGCGCTTTTTCCCTTAAAATTGTTATAGCATTAATAATTTCTGATTCCTGAATAATCAAAAATTAAAAAGACCTTTGTTAAGTGAAAAATCTGGTATATTTAGAATTATGTACAGGTACAACAAAAATTTTATTTTTTGAAAGATGAGGTTGACTTTCCAAAAGTGAAAAATCTGATTTAAGTAAAGCTTCTGATTTTTTACTAAAGCACTGAGAGAAATGATTTTGTTATAGGAACAAATCCAGGGAAAACAAATGTGATATTTGATGTAAAGCCTCTTATTTGCTAGCGATACTATTGATTATATACTTTTATATATGTATATACATATATATATCTCGTATATATAAAAGTCGTAGACGGTTGCTGGGTCTCAAATTGTAAGAAATTGACTAATTCTAGCAAGTTTTCTCCCTATATTTGACTATGCTTGGTCAGTTTCCTACGACTTAAGACTCCACGATCATCTACAATTTCTATGTAAACAAGCCTAAAGTCTATCCAAAAAATAGGTTAGATTCTATATAGTTTGCTTCTGTTACTAATAATTGATTGGTATAGCAGACTAACAGCAATCACAACAACAAAATTTGTTGTCACATATTTACCGATCACTTGTTAAAGGTACTCTAGTAACTTGTTAAATTAACAAAATCCTTTCTCTCAGTGAGCATCTTGTCAATATGTCTCATATTGCATAATCTTGCAAAATCCTTGCTACATTTTTAATCTTTTGCATATGACAGACTGTATCAGATTACAGATATTGATCTTCCAAAGATTCATAATTCGCATGATCTGTTCACCATTATTGTATTTCACTGTATCGACCTGATTCTCCTCCAGGTCATCGCAAGGATTGAGCAAGGGGAATAAAATGAAAGAAGGGGGAGGGGGGGTGGACCCTTATCCGGCCGGGATGCAATTTTGTGGTATTAATGTTGCAAGAGCGTCAACCGCGAGCGGTCGGTGCGCTGAGGACTCTAGCTTTCCTCTCCATAGACAAACCATTCTGTACTCGACCTGTTTTCGCAAGGAATGAAATTGCACGCGAAAATTTGTACTTTCCGGGGTAGCCTGCCATTCTAACGGACGATATATTTTTGAAGAATACTTAATTTAGTATATACAGTTCTGGAGTAAATTTAATACAAAGTGACTGTAAAAGTAATTATTAAATTAGTTACATAGTTATAAAAAAAAGTAATTAAATTAAGTTACAGTTATAAATGGAAGGAAAAAAATTAAGTTAAGTTACAGTTACTGAAAAAAATCTTACTCTAACTGTAACTTCGATACAAGTAACGAGTTACCAACCCTGTGAATAACGTATGATGTACATGCCACATGCATACAGTTACATACAAGCATAACTTCCTCCGTGTGTATAATGTATGTGCATCGTACAATGACGATATATGCGAGCTATTCGGCGCGTGTATTCATATTAAACGTACATATTTGCGTGTCGTCAACTATATGTACTTACTATTCCAGGACTGTTGAATTGGCAGGGCAGCAGCGCGTTTCCACCGGTTTGCGCTAAAACATCCTTGATGAATTTCGGCCTCGCACGAGAGTCAACTGGGTCGGTCTCTTTTGTCGAACCGCCTCGTTCAATTGCGCCATCTGTAAATATTCGGTAGAAAACTTTTACACTAATGATGCTCGATCTTAGCAGAAGAATCAATTTTTTAAATCGTCTTGAGTCGTAACTACAAGTTTCGAGTCATCAAAAAAATCAAATATCAAAGAATTGATTCGACAAAGATCAATCTAAAAGATTAACGTAGTTAATTGCATACATCTCTTATATCGTTTATGAACATAATGTAATATTAGATTTATTTTTTACTTCAAGAAGTGGAACTTCCCCTTTTTCCCCAGGGAGACTATTCCACTGGGCTTTTTGGCTCAGATTTACTGAAAACAAGGAGAACATGATATCTGGGGAGCACTCGCGTGGGAATCCAAACTAATTGTTCGGATTTCGGTGATAATTATATAAATTAGATAGAGAAGGTAAAGATTTCCTTGTTTAATTAAATAATATTCGTTAAACCTTTGGGCAATCTCTTAATTCTCCTGTTCAGCATTCAGTAGCTAGAAATGGTTGTCAAATCGTTTTCAGTTTTAACGAGCTGTTAGTTTTCAATGGGTACTCAATTGAACATTCGTTAACAAGAGAATTCGATAAAAGTTGACGTAGAGTTTGAAGTCGGAAATTTTGAAGTAGACAGGTCAAGAATATATAGAGTGTCCCGAACAGTTTCGAGAGTTGAAAAAAAGGATTTGATTCGATAAAAATTTATCACTAAATTTTCAAAGTATTATTTATCAATAATTAAAGATTTGTTAAAAATTTAAGGTTTGCATCATAAATGAAAAAGGATTTAAAAGATTTCGTTTATACACCTGCGATATTACAGAAATAATTTTGCTTTTCATAATAAAATAAAATTTTTATCAAATAGTTAACATGATTGCATATTGATCGTATATTACGAAAATATATTTCTGTATACTCGGACAATATTTTACTTTTCTTTCATTATATTGATAATAATTTCCAAGCACGCTTGCATTATATAAGCACATCCTTCCTCCGTTGAGCGCGTCGCTTCGAATTTCATAACATTCGAACGAACGGAAAATGATTATTGTGTAAAAGGATGATTAATGTAATTATTGTATTCAATAATACGTGCAATGTAATATAATAATTTATTTTTGAACGCGCCTATTAATACTCGAAATTTGATACATGTTATTTGTTTTATTTATTGAAATTATAATAATATTTGAATTTAATACACAAATATAATCCGAAATATTAGATCCACATATAAGTACAATCTGAATGTGTGTATTTCACTAAAATTTCATTGTTAATGAAATTTTAGTGAAATACACACATTCAAATATCGCGCAATTATCGCGTGCTCTTGCAACGGTAGATTTTATAATGACTCCTCTTTAGTAAGAAAATGTTTTTAATGCAATATATATTTAAAATTTGTATTATACTTTCAACGAAAATTTTGTTAAATCTGTATTAAAGAATTTTAACGAAAATAATTATGTATCAATGCTATTAGAGAATTTTAATAGAATTTTCTTTAGTTATATATATAAATACAATTTTACCTCAACAAATTTAACACATGATGCAAACGCGTGACTTAATTGTTCAAGTTTAACTTGTAGTGGAAAATTACAATTAGCTGGTTAAATTTTAACTGGTTAAGCGGCCTGTGGCCTTGCTTTGCTGGATGTTAGGTGTCACTAACATCCGCGTTTATCTCTTCATTATTACAAGAAGTCATCTGAGCAGTCAGCGCGCACGTGTTTGAACTAAAGCGTAGAGATTCCGGCTTTCCCTCTGGCGTTTACACCTATATTCAATATAGACCGAGGATATTGGAGATTACGTTACCATACATGTGTATGATTAGTTCAGAGTAGAACCGACTGAATCGGTAATGGCTGCGTCACGTATTGCGTAGATCCATTCGATCGTGCCGTAAGTTCGATTCGCGTTCTCGTTCGCGTGCACGTTACAAACAATGGATAAAGAGACGAGAGGAAATTACATCGACGCCGCTTGTAGCAATCTCAGCGTTGTAATCCGTAACAGCATATTAAAATGCCGGGCGGACGGTCATTTGTATGTCGGCGCCATATCGGATACGCTATCGATCGAATATTTATAATGGGCATTTATAATGGGCGCGATATCTCGTCGCATTGAGAGCGTAATATCGTCGCATTATGAACAAAGCACGTATCAAATATCGGTTCTCATTGTTGATATCGGAGGATACTGATAACGAGGAGAAATTCGCTAAAATACATATTATTCGGCCAAACCTGTTAAAAAATTTAAGGTATAGGTATTACTATTGATCTTAAATTCCAAAAATTTCGTAAAAATAGAGTTTGTATAAAGCAAGATATTTGCATACATTTGGGTACGTATTTGTGATTAAATGATTCAAATATTTCAAAACGTAGACATCAAATCTTAAATGTCCACTTAAAAAGTCTTAGCATAAAATATATGATAAATTATATGATATATATTAAATATATGATAAAGGACATAAAGAATACCGATATCTTAGCAGAAGATATTGACGAAAGTCTGTTTACTGACTGTTTGTACACTTACAAGTCTCCAAATCCAGATTTAGCAATTCGTACTTCCGGAGAGACTCGACTTAGCGATTTCCTCATGTGGCAGGTAAGAAACATTTTATTCTTGTGACTTAAATATATTTCTTCTTGTAATTAAAGCGAATCTCTTCATTTAAAACTTTATCCAAATTTTTTTTAGGTTTCCAACTCTTGCATCTACTTTAGAAGTAATTGTGGCCTGAATTCAGTATATGGACTTTTCTTAAAGCAATCTTTTATTATCAGAGATGTTATCCTTACTTGCAAAGAAATTGGAAACCAATCATGCATAATTGAAGAGTATCCAAGTTTGTTAAGAATTTGCACAAAGAACGCGAAATTATGATCGAAAAAGCATATCAATTAGTAAATTAATCTTGATATTAAAATTAAGTAGATTACAATTAAGTAAATTAATCTTAATATTTATAGATTTTTAAATTAATTTTAATATTGAAAGTTATATATAATATATTCAATCCTAGAAACAAATGAACGCTATTCCATATGTCGATGAAACATGCTGAAAATCTGTTGCAAGTATTTTGCTTTAAAGATTAAATACCTATGTATAAATACTTAATAAAATATATAATATACAATAAAAAAATATTTTATACTTTTATAAAAACGTTTCTTGTTAAAATTTTTGTAAGGAATTTTTAGTAGGTATATCCGAATGTTAATTTAACATAACGTGATTATGTTATTTGAATATTTTGTGAATTGAATTCTTAATGTTAAAGTAACACAATATTGTTATGTAAACAGATATTTGTTTACTTGATGAGTGAGTGATCAAATATTTAATATAAAAATAATATAGCTTTAAGATTACAATTCTAAGATAAATAAATAAAAGATAAATGTGTTAATTTAACGTATTATAATGTTAATTTTAAAAATATGTTTTTACAATTTGTTTCTAATTGAGTACAGGTGCTACATTTTTGTGTTAATTTTAAATGTTTGTGTTGCTTTCTAATATAGTCATCTTAATTTAACACCAAAATTTGAATGAACTTTTTGGGACATGTTAAATGTATTAAATTTAACACGAATTTTTTAACTGTATATAATGAATCTGGCGATATCTGGTTTGTCATCAGATTAAATTTGAAATCATGAAAAGACTTTAAAATGATTGCGTTGCGTTTGAAAGAATACGTTGATTAACTCTTCATCGCATGCGACATCTTGTTTCCTCCAGAGGATGATCTGTCGCTTGACTGTCGTTATCTATCTCGGTGGATCGTTCATGACTTGCTGCTTATATAGGGAGAGTGGTGTCGGTTGAAACAAAAAAAATTTTTTTTTTGCAGCTAACCAATTTATTATAAATAAGAAAAAATTGAAATTTTTTATGAAAACAAATATATCCTTTGGCATTAATTTCAACTTAATAGATATTTAAAAAAGTAACAAATTATAAATGATATTTATCATTAATGGCATCGCCGCGACTTGTTACAATTGACACCGCGGTGGTGTCAATTGTATCACTGCCGCTTGTTTCGATTTTATATCCATTAAACTTACATGTAAACAATAAATTGAATTGATATATACCTTACTGCAAAGCTTGATATTCATATAAGTGTGATATTCACATCACACAGTATCGTCGTATTACAAATTGTTGTGGAACGAGTTGCACTAAATAATGGCGGGTAACAAAGTTTACAATCTAACCTTGATTTAACAAAAATAGGTGCTGCTACGTTTGCACTTACGAATGGCCACTCAATTTTTCGTCAATGACTTATGTCTGTTAACGGTATGCAACCGTGCATGCAGTTCAGCCTTTCGTCAATAGATACAGCTATTGCGGTCAATGTTACAATTGACCCTCTGTTTCAACCGACACCACTCTCCCCTACTCGAATTGACTTTAATACACGAGTCAAGGTACGAATGGGATTGAACAAGCATAAGAATGAATCATTGAAGATCCATGATTAAGTAGATATCGCAAGTCCGTTTCATGTTCCACTCGATAACAGCTGAAGTTTCTCCTTTATGAATCGATTTGCCGCGTCCGCCTTTCCGACGTTCATCATTTCGTACTTTTTCGCGATTACGTCCAGTCCGATCCTGCAAAAACTTTGGTTGGTTGTCTTGCGATTTAACATCGTAGATATCGTTTTCAAGACATTGCAATGCATCTGTCCACGCATTATCGATTTCGTGGGTTATCACTTGTGTAGGTTAGAGATGCTATAACAGAGTCAGGTCACGAGCAATTTTGTCAAAATCCTATACAAGAAAGAAAAATATGCTTTATTCCTGTATTTTTACAAATTTTTGCGATTCTTTAATCATCTAATTCATCACATTTTTATGAGTACATTAATAAAGTGTAATGTTTAGTTTTCTCGAAACAAGAGAGTGTTTCTTTAAAAGACCTATATCAATATCGGCAAGTTTCTCTCTCGTAGAATTTTGACAAAATC